GGCCCCCAAATCTCAACCATGCCATTGATATCAAACTTAAAAAATACATTGCACCACATATGTTTATTCAGACACTAAGTACATAGCACTACGTCTAATTCCAACACTGTTCTGGATGTTTGCAAAGTTCAATGTCAACTTCAAATAGTTATTTATCTCCCATTCAGGGATAGCTCCTGAGAGAGAGCCAAGATGAATACAGCATCCTAGAAGAGCCTTCAAGCCTTTCTCTAGGGCATAACATGAGCTCAGAAAGAGATGGTAAGAACTGCAATAGAAGGGTATGAATCAACTCTCCACCCATGCCAATCATTGGAAGAAAAACTCTTTTAGAGACACATAATTTCCTGGAGGACTTGGTGCAGATCATTGGCAACCTAACCTTTCGTCCTGGGATCTCTAGTTTAAAAGTTGTCAGGGCTTAGAGGAAAGTTAAGGTCATTCATATCCAATGGCTGCCTTTGGGGGCCAGTTAAGACATGCAACGCAGTTCCTAGCAGATCCCTATGGATACCTAGGCCAAGATGAAGGGCTGTGTCTATTTCCCTATGGATCCTAAAGAGAGGGCTGCCAGTTAATGTTTAAAAGGACCACAAGGAAGAGTAACCACCTATTGTGTAATTCAAAGCATTTTCTTATACACTGTCTTCACTTGATCCTTACAATACTCCTATGAGTCAGACAAGGCTGGTTTATTCCACTCTACTGGTAAGAGATATGAGACTTAGAGATGTTAAACAACTTTCCCAATGCAATATAGCTAGTATTTGAGGCCTGGGATTAAACCCCAGGCTTCTTTATTCCAAAAGCTATGTTCTTAATATCTACAGTTAAAATTACTCATGGCCAGGCACACAGCTAATCAACTTTAGGATGACAGAACATTTTCATTCAAGTTTGCCATATACAGGATAGATAACCCAACAGCTGTCTTTAACATCCCATTCCTTACAAGAAAAGGGAAAGTAAATATATGTAGCATCTCAAAGAATATGAAGCTTTTTAGATCATTAGTAGCACTCATAATTATGATAATTATTATCACTTAAAGTGGTGAGTAATTACCATGTGCTAAGCATAGTGTCAGGTGCTTTTGCCTGTATTGATTCACCTCATCGTTGAATCCCCAGTATGACCCAATGAAGAACGTCCTATTTTTACCTCTATTTTGTAGGTACTTAGATCTTTGCCCAAGGTCAACCAGTTTGAGAGTGGCAGAGCTAGAATTCAAAGCCATGTCTGTGTGACTATATAGCTATAATCTCACATACTCTCCTACACTGTCCCAGCATTGTCCCACCACCTTAGAACACAGCATGGATATGTCTGCTGTCCAAATAGTCCCAACCAAGAAAGTCAAATGCAGTAGAGGACTGGAGAGAAAATACAAAGTTTTAACAGGTATTTTCAGGCTGCAATCACTATTGCTTCTTCATTGAAGCCATGCACATGTATGATTATATATCTCTTACTTTAAAGAGTCATTCGAAGGTAAAATCTTCTGTTAAAAATGTTTTCTTATGATCATGAGTCTCTATGGCTGACCATTTGGCATCTTTAATTTATATATTATAATTCCCCCATTCTGGACTCATGTTCCATTTTCCCATTTGAGGGAATAATATTTAGCATTTGAACATACTCTACTTGCTCTGCTTGTGTTTATGCACACAACCTGTCACCTGGCTCAGCATGGCTAATACTGCTGTGGAAGGTGGAAGTGGCAAAAAAGGGGAGGCTGTTCTGATTGTAAGATACTTGGTACCCAAATGCCAGTTTAGAAGCCGACACAACTTGATCCTGTATTTCATTTTCATGCATGTATTTGAAACGTATTCTCTTGGGGATGTTTATGCTCTAAGCCCACAGTATAAGCTCTTAGACACTGTTTGAAAAAGATTGCTGTATACTCACTACACCTGGATAATCTGAGTTTCGTCAAATGAGTCAAGGTGTGATGATTATGGATGAGATGATTTGGGGACGTCTCCAGAAAGTAAATGGCTTTTTTATTGGACTATGTCTGCATGAATGCAGCCACTGGGTTCTGAGCCATTTCTATTATGTCAGCTGAAACCAGCAGTGTTGTCTGGGCCCTTGAGCACAGTTTTATAGACCAGTGCATTAGTCTGTATGCTTTCTCCCCAATCATTCTGCCACAAATGGAGTGACTCTGCAATTCTTTTGCTCAGCTAAGAGGCCCGACCCTACTGCTAAGGTTTGCTGTAAGGTTCAAGTGAGACACCACACCTAGTTTGTGCCTGGCACAGAGCAAGAGTGGTTCTAAAAATGGTAATCTCAATACTCCTCCTTATGATGGTGCTGGAGGTATGACTGTCCCAATTCAAAGACGAGTGAACTGTACTATGTTATCTACATGGCACTATATTATCTAAAAATTATTTTGATGATTCCTCTATAAGTTAACTGTAGAATTACCATGTGACTCATCAATTCCACTTCTAGGTACACACCAGAAAGAAAACATGTCTATATGAAACTTGCACACAAATCTTCACAATAGCACTACTCACAGTAGCCAAAAGTTGGAAACAATAAAAATGTCCATCTAATGATGAGTAGATAAAGAAAATGTGGTTTATTCATACAATGGAATGCTACTTAGCCATAAAACAAAATGAAGTACTGAAACATGACATTGAAGAATCAAGAAAACATTATGGTGAGTGAAAGAAGCCAGACAAAAAAGGTCACATGTTATAGGATTCCAGTTACATGAAACAGACAAATTCATAGAGTCAAAAAGTAGATTAGCAGTTGTAAGGGGTTAGGGGGAGGGGGAAATGGGGAGTAACTGTTTAACGGGTATGGAGTTTCCACTTGGAGTGATGAAAAATTCTGGAACTGGGATGGATGCACAACCTTGTGAATGTATTGTCACAGAATTGAACACTTTAAAATGGTTAATTTTACATTAAGTGAATTTTGCCACAAAAAAGAGAAAATTATGTCAACCCATTTACTTTTGCAAAAGGACATTATGCATCCTAAAGGCAGAGCTCTGCAAACATTGCTAGTATTACTGCTGCCACTACTGCACAAGCATTCTCTTTTGGTCTATAGCCTTCCAGGTCTTGTAACTAATCTTCAGACTCTAGAAGGAGGGTTCATTTGCAAATGTTTATAACCTTGTGCCTACATCTTGCTCCTAGGACTCAGTTAGAGGGAATAAGTTGTCATTTTGCCTCACCTTAGAGCCCCCAGTTCAATCTCCCCATCCAATTTTCACTGAGAATCTAAGCCTTTTTGAGGAAGACATCATGACTAGGGGCAGCATGTCATAAAAAGGTTCCAACCCACCAATCCTGATCATCTGAGAGTCTCAGCACTTACAAAAAGTCAGTGAATATACCCTAAAACCCAGATGATTCAGGTCAACAGACCCTTTGCCAATTTTAAGATAAATACAGAAAATAACTTTATAAGTTAAAAAGCAGATTACATTCATATAATTACATGAAGAGGAAGTCAATGTGCAAAATCTACTTTCAATTATTATTGAATTCTACTTCAAACATTTCGATTAAAAAGCAACTTTTTATCTGTCAAAATCAATGATCTGGAATGTTTTCATTTTTGCTTCTGTTTTACTTACAAATATGATGCTCCTGTCATTGGTGTATTAAATGTGTGAGGCAGAAATGACAATTTTTGGAAATTAAGTGTGCATTTTACATTTGCTATGAAGTCCAACTCAAGTAGGAGGGAGACAGCTTGCATTCAGCAAATGTACAGCAAGCCCCTGGGAAAGAGTTGTGAAATTGGCTTAGGCCAGCACTGTGTAGTCTATACTTACCCTGTGGTTGTTCTTGGTAAAGCACTAAACTTGCAAAGATGCAATTATTTTTTACATATTATTAAAATTCAAGCACAAGAAAGTGGAGAAAGTAATGTAGATGAAAGTTTTGGCCACATAACTTTGAAGATGGATTTGATTTTTAAAGTATACCAGAATGGTAGGAGTTCTAGTGTGGTAAACAACTGTAGATGAGAATAGAGTAGCTGAACCTTGATAATTTTTCCTAAGCTTTTCTTTGCAGGCTCTTCCTCATGAAATGTTTAATCAACATGGAATTCCATATTTGTTAACTCTCTTGAAATATCAGTGCATAAGCATTCCTTTAAATAGTCTGTTTTATAATGTAGCAGACTTCACTGTAGGAAGATCTTCATCAGGTACTGGATTTAAAGAAAGGCAATCCTTCTGCATTCCTCATTTGAGGTGATAAGCACACCCAGAAGGACCTCACATTCGAGACAGTTCTCCCTCAAAGAGAAAATGTGCAAGCATCATTGACACCACACACTAGGTTGCCGTTCTCATGAGTCATAAATGATACTTGGCCTTTTCAAATCATAAAGTCCAGTCTCATTGAAATGCTGAAAACATGCATTTCTGCCATCTCATTTGGTGGTAAAGTACTGTAAATGCTTAAAGTGTGGAATAGAAGGAGACAAGGGCAGCAGCAAGTTTTTGCCAAATGTCTTTTGCCTAAAGGTTCATTTAAGTGGCAAGATGTTGCATATTGATTCTCAGCTGCATTCTGAAATGGTGCATCTGGGAAAGGTGAATGAAGCATCACATTTATATCTAAATTAATGAGTATGGGCTCCAAGCCTCACACCAGAGTCACCAAACGAAAGTTATACCTCACCCAGGACAATAAATAGTCCAAGAGAGAGTAAGACAATCTCTATTGCTTACTACTGACCAGCATTTGTGTATGGAACAGAGAGAGAGATTGGAGGGGGTTGAAAGCAGTTTTAAAGAGCTCTACATCTCCTTACTATAGCTTTAATGAAAGTTTGAGCTGATTTGACTTGTTCCAGAACACTATGCTCATCTTTGCTTCTTTCCCTCTCTCCAAAGCCCAGAGATAAAGCATGGGGAAGTTTGTGCATGTCAAAGCATGTCAAAGCCATTCCAGTTCCTCCTGCTCCCCACTTAGTCCCAAAACAAAGCCCTAAGCTCTTCTTACCTGGTAGAGCTCAGTGGCAGTGCACTGAGTGGTCAAGGTCTTCACAGGCTCAAGGTCATCTTCATCACTGCTCAACTTCAGGTCATCCTCAAGCATCCTACAAAGAGATCAGAGTGGTGTTTGAGTTAGAAAACATGTTTTCTAAATCATCCTCAGATACATCTTGCAATGAGAATAAAGTATTGGAGCTACAATCTCACAGCTGCAAATCCTTCAAATGTGTAGAGGGAACTAAGATTGTTTCACCTAATTAGATATTTGAGCTCTTATATTTATGCCATACTTTGCACACATCTTTCCTCTCTACCTTCCCCTAAATCAAGGGGAAAGTACTATTTCAGGATCTCCAGAGATGACTGGATTCTATACATTTTTACTACTAAAAGTGCAATAAATGTACTGATCAATCACTGTGTATGTGGGATGTGGCATTGGATCTCTACAGGACAAGGTGCTCGAAGTCTCCCATGAAAGAAGAGGGGCATGATAACAGTCCCTAGCTCTAGAGGCTGTTGTTAAAGCCTGCTGGGTCTCTCTGGATGACGGAGGTAAAAGGCACAGTGAACCTGGACTCTCTTTCAGTGCCCTCTGCTGCTGGGTAGCTAGGTGGCCACAAAAGAGCTGGGAGAGAAATGGCTAGTCATTAACCTTCTGATATATGACCGATCTCTTCCTGTAAAATTTGATCTGAGAGATGTAAGCCCATGATGTGGATAAGAAATCTTTCTCTCCTAAGGCAAGGCACCTGAAAAATGAGTGGCCTGGATTTTGGTGATGAACTAGCACTTTCAAAATTGTTTATGGAGTCACAGAGCCTTTTGTTTCCATAGAGATATTAATTCCAGTGGCAACCTCTCTATCTCCAAGTGTGAGCTACAGCAGGAAGAATAGCTTATCATCTTAAAATTCCAGCTACACTGTCTTTAAAGACCTATTGGTGTTCATATTTTTATTTACGAAATACAACTTTATACCTCATCCTTAGGCTTCAAGAGGGGACAGTCTCAGCCTTTCTAGACCAATGACCATTTCCTATGCATATATTGCTTTTTCTTGCATCTAGGCTCTGCATCAGGCTCAGTTCCAGGGCTAGAAATCTCTTTCTCAACTCTGGAAATCCCATTTATCCTTTGTAGCCTAATGATCCCACTTCCTCTACAAAAGCTTTCTAGAAAGAACTCCCATCTCAGGAAGAATATTTTTTCCTCTGCCCAACCCTCAGCTCCATCTGGATCACAGCACAGCTTTCCACTGAATCTCTCCCCACTAGTCCGTAATTCTCATGAGGGCAGGGGGTGCAGCATTTTCACCTCACTGTGCTTCACAGCATCTTCCCACAAATGATAGAGTCTACTGGGATCATTTTGCAGACAAGGAAGGAAAGATTCAGAGAGGTTAATTGCTTTGCTCAAGCTCACACAGCTATTAATAGTTAGTGCTAGAGCCACTCCTAAAATTTCCATCTCTGTAATCCCACTTGGGTGTTTTTCCAGAAGAGAAGCCAGAAGGGAAAAGGAAGCTTCTAATTTGATAAATAGGGGGAAAGTTACTTCAGAGGTTATGTTCAAATATTGAAAAGAGAATCAGGGCAGAGTGGATATCCAATAACTCTCCAAGAAAAGCACAGCTCCCCCACTTTCATGCTCAGTCACATAACACTAGAATGTTTACACTGAGGTCTGCAAACCAAAGACTGATATAAAGGATGATTGGTGGGAAGGACAACTGTTAGAGTAGCTTTCGGATAAACTAAATTTGCAGGATTTATGACTGTCCTTCAAGAGACTAATGGATGTTTTGAAGATCTTAGAGAAGGAGAAAAAGTGTATCTTGGTATTTCTTTTGCAGTTGCAGGCTTATAACTCTGAACAAATAATTCTTTACAACACATTGTGGGAGATGAAGACTGTATCATTCTCATAAGCTATAGAACTTAAATATTTAAAAACTACCTATGCTTGTTATTATAAATGGCTTTACTTCCCGTGTGTGTGTGTGTGTGTGTGTGTGTGTATCTCGATACAGCTAGGGAATGTCTATGTGTTAATTTATATTCAAGTAGTCAGCAAAAGAAATGGTAAATAATTCCTGCATTTAGAGGGTCAATTTTCAGAGACAGAGGAAGTCCTAAGTATTTGACCAGCAGCATGGAACTTGGTCCTCACAATACTTCTATGAAGGAGATGGTGTTACAGCTGCATTTTTCAGATGGAGACTCTGAGGTTTAGAGAGATTAACGGGCTTGCTTGTGAACAGACCGCTAGAAATCAAGGAGGCAAACATGGAACCTAGATCATCTCCAGCCAGAATTGGGAGTATACAAGGTTTTCCTAGAGGGTACAACTTATAAAAGATGGTATATTCAATAAAATTGACAGCAACAACAAAAACCTCACAAAACATATTAGCATGGAGTCAAAACATTGGGATTCAATTGCTGGCTAATCATAAACCCCAATATCTGGGGTAATTTACCAGCTCTGAGGTTCATCTGTGTCCCTCATCTCTTCAATGGGATAATACTTTGGTTCCATCACAGGAGGGTGGTGGTGAGCATAACAGGAGCTAATGCATGTGAAAGTGCTTTATGAAAGCACAAAACTAATAATGCGGGGCACCATTAGTTTGGAAAGATATCTCAGTTGGAAATAATGAACTTCATTAATACTATTAACAAGTAATCAGAAGCAGAAGTTTCTGTATGCCTTTGCTCCTCTCCTTTTAATTTTCTGAACAGTCTGAAGGTAATCCATGATGACTTGGGAAATGTCTAAGGGCATCTCAAGACCAGATGTAGAAATATGCTTGTGGTCTTCAGGTTTCTCTCCTTCAGGTAGAAGTAGCACATCCAGAGTCATAGCACAGAGTTCTGAACTCAGCAGTTATTTTACTCTCCAATCAACATTATATTACTTTTAACATGGAGATGAAATGCACTCCAACGTACAATTCTGGAAATAGTCAGCCAATCTACACAGTGATTGACATTAAAAAACCTCCCTCTACCCCGCCCCCACCATGCAACAAGCTTGGTATGGATTTGGTTGTTAATAAAGGAAAATCTGATGCATATATTTAAGTCCCAGTAAACATAAGTCAAAGAAGTAACTAGGAAGGCAAATTGCTATTAGTTATCTCTGGAGGCACTAGGCATTCATTTCATTCCACTTCTTCCCTGACCTATTAAGCTTTATTATTGAATATACATGTACTTGTTTGCATTTTCATCCTTGGCTAATGCTGAACATTACTCTAGGGAAAGTGTAGGATTAAGAAAGATTTTAGATTTAATTATTATAGCAGCACCATTCACACCCAATGCAGTTAAAGTCGTCTCAGCAGAAAAATGGTGATCTCTTTTCAAGAGGTTATAATTCCATAGACAATTCATCACACATTGGCTATCACAAAAATGTGAAAAAAAATTGCTCATATAAATGTATGCCTGTGTGTGTGATCTTAAAAACAAAACAAACAAAACAAAACAAAACAAAAAAACGGACATTGTTCTTCAACTTTTCAATTAGGTGAAAACAGAACCAATTAGACCTCCTTAGTGAAGTCTGTTGTTTGTTCAGGGTCTAGTCAACCACAGTGTTCATCTTGGTGTAAAAATGCTGTTTTTATTTTTACTATGATCTATAATTTGTAGTATTAAGACATAGAATAATCTATAAAACTGAACAAAAACCCAAGTTCTTGCCCTGAGGAGATGATCCTATAAAAGTTCAAATAGTGAAATTTGGATGAGATGGAATGGACCAAAAGAGGATCTTTGTCCTTGGTTTTCTGAGCTTCAAGCTGAGCTTAGTGGCCTCCAAGGGCTCTTTGCACTGAAACATTCTAGTGCACTATGACATGACAGGTCCCATGTGAATCATAACCATAAAATCATAAGATCACACTCCAAAAACTTTGCCAATTTACATAGTGGAATGCTTAGGTGATTTTGAAGAGGTTGAAATAGAGGGCTTGAAACATTATTATAGAAGGTTGTAGGAAGAAGCCCTTGGTTGAGTCAGCATGAACTTATGAGCAAGGTCTTGAGAAACAAACAGACCTAAGTTCAAATACAGGAATTCCTATTGGATTTTTTTTTTTTTTTATCCAGTAAATAAGACCCTTTAAATCTCAATTTTCTATATGTTAAAATGTTATCTATTTACTGGACAGAAATAATTTGCATCTGTACTTAATAAAAATGTATAATTTAAAAAAAAATGGGTAATAATAATACCCACTCTGGACAATTTTTAGAATTTGAAAATAAAGATTATACAAATTGCCAGGAGCCAATATAGCTACCAGTTATCATTTTCATCTTAGTTAGTATTGATATTGTTATTATTATTATCAGAGGAATTTTGTTGTACAATAATTTTTAAAAGCTGTGGTGGTAACCCAAAGGCTGGCAGAGGTATCAGGCCCCATACATCATTGGAAACTCTTGACCAAATAAGGAGAGATTCAAAGACTATTAAGGAGTTTGGAAAGTTTCGGAGCTTTGGTTTACTCATCTAGAAATGGCCTAAACTCATCAGGTCTGTCTTGGGTTTTCTTAGATCCCCTTGGAGTGCTTAAGATATCCCAGAAATTTGAAAGTCAGTCGCAAGAGGAAACATCCAGACAGTACCAAGTGAGAGTTCAGAAAAAAATGAGTGGCCCCAATGTTCTGACCCTCATACCTGGGAATCTACCTGCTGATCCAGAGAAATGAACCAAGGGTGACCCCCCCACTGGAAGTTGTGCTCACCTTGAGCACAGTGTCTTTAGGCCTGTCACTCTCAGGAGGCTGTTCTGACACACATCTGGCTCTGAAGTTTGTGTGTAAGACTGCGCATAATAGGCTCCTAGTTGATCCAGAATCCTTGCTCAGAAACAACCGTTAGCACATTGAGTTGTTCTTAGAACTTGCAAGCCTGCATGGTGCCTTTTTGTGAACTACAAAATGATGTTCCTCTTGGCAGACAGCAGCACTCAATACTGGGTAGATTCCAGCTTCAAGGTATCTATAGTGCTAGCTGCAATGCTGGTGACTGATTCTCAGATGTACTCTTCCAATTGGAAGTACTTGAGAGTGCTATCTCTTTCACCATG